TGTTTATTGAAGGGCGTTTTCTGGGGGTTTTTTTTCTTCTGTAATTGAGATTAATTGCTTGTTCTGGAGTACAACTGACTGCACTGGGTATCTCAGTATCATGTATGAACAGTCAGTACAACGACTGTGGCAGGCTGCCATCTTTTGCTTTTTGTGCAGATTTTTAAATAATGTAAATTGAAGTGAAATATTTGAATTTAACTTTTTTTTTCAACTTTTATATATGTTGGTAAATGTAGTAGTCTCTTTTCTGTAAAAATTTTATAAAGGTTTCTATCAATATATGTATAAAATGAATTTCATCACAGTTTTGAATATTTAAGAAAATGCTTTGTATGGATGGGTTTGAATCTAATGCAGTTTTACATATATATGTATAAAAAGCAAATCTTTATGCAAGAATGAATGCTTTCTTTCATACAACCCCTTGTACTGAACACAAATGCTGCGATAGTAACCATTCTCTTCTACTTCATGGCATTGAGCAGAAGAGTGAAAGCTCAGCAGCCACTAGATAAGTCTTGCATGACTAAAGCTACGACCAATGTAAAAAGTGTTTTATTAGTTAGCAAGTAAAGCGTCAGATGAACTTTCCTTAAGAGTTGAGACTGTTTAAGTTCCTTAAGTTACCTTTATAACTTTATTACAGTGTCTCCGTCAAAGTCTTCCAGTAAAGAGGAGAATCGAAGTGAAAAAATGGACAGAAAGCGCTCTGAGCACAAGGACAGAAAGAAAAAAGATGAGAAGGTACTGTATGAAACTGGCTTTTTTACTTTTTATTTTTGTGGGTTATTTTTGTTCTTGGAGACTCAGAATGCAAAAAATTAAAAGCATTTTCTGTCCTGAGCTGCTTTGAGGCTTCTTATTTTGTGTGTGGGGTGGTTATAACATGTGTGCACGCTGTATGGCTTAGCAGATTCAATCTTCCTCCTTTTTCTTGTGTGCTGTCTTCTTCTACCTCGGCCAGAGTGAATATGAACTTGTAGTGTTTGTGGAATTAAAAAACAAAAATGGCAATCTTTGCAACACTGAATACAGTGCCTACATCTAAAGTTTGTGATATTAAAAACATAAATAAATGTCGAGTTCATGAAAAGTCCAAAATAAATCAGTAAAAGATCGGACCAGTGAATTTTCCCTTTTCAAAAGATACATAAATCTGTTTAAAAATCTGGAAAGGGTGCACTGATAAAATACGTTTGTTTGAACATATTTATTTTTGCAGTCATTTCATTAAAAAATTTTTAATCTGTACTGTGTGATAATTCAATAATGCTTTTTATTCCCCTGCCTGACTAATGACAAATTTTTGTAAGTGTCTCAGTCTTTAAAAACTGAGTCCTGTCTATTTTAGGTAAGGACTGGTAGAAAGTGTTATTATGAGAAAAATAATGTTTCAAGGGAGGCAATTATTTTCACTGATTTTGTTTTTGTTCAATTTTTATGAAGTGGATTGGAAAATTGAAAAAGAAGTTCTCCATCAAATTCATCATTCAGAGTAGATCTATTTTTAGATTAAAATGACAAAATTTCGCCAATGCTTTGTTTTTTTTAATTGGAAGATTTCAGTAGGGCTACTTATGTGCATGATTTATTTCATTTGGCCTGATAAAAAGACAAATTTATGCCGTCTTTGTTGCAGGGGAAAAGAAAGAAGTATGTGGACGTTGATGGAGTGGAGGGAGATAAATCCATACCTGCCTGGGGTTCGGGTTTTCAGGGGGCACGGCCTAAAGGTTCTATGTATGAGAACAAGCCCAAGGGTGGCAAACAGTATAATCGCCATGGGCGCAGTGCGAATCGACACCACAGTCCACCGGGCCTGTATGACAGTCCGTCATACTCTGAGGATTCAGAGGAGGAGTAAGTATTGAAAATTAAAAACATCTTGTTTCTCTTTGTTGCCTTTCTTTAGCCTAGTGTTGTTTTTTTACTTACTGTTAGGAAAGGTATGTAATATGTATTTTGAATATATTGTGTAATTTATGTTTTAATTTCATTTCTTTGCGTGGGAAAACTCGACAAATTCATGACAAGAATGTGTTTCTTTTTGTGAAGTAACATTTTTTTGGTGTTTTTTGTAAAGTAAATTTTCTGAGCATGGGACGTCTTGACAGTCACAATTTTGGAAAAGGTTCAGAAATTTTTCTCATAACTTCTTTAAAATGAATGTTGAGAGAGTTTGTTTATTTCAATATGTTGCAGTCTCGTAGAAATGTCCTCCATCTATTCTTCTTGCGAGTCCTGCCAATCTTGAGACCCAGCTGTTTATAACTGTACTTAAAATGTCGTTTCAATTCTCCTTGTAAATTTTTTGCGCTTGTCTTTTTTCTCCCTTAGTATGCCTAAGTCTATGATTCCTGATGGATATGTTGATGCTTCAGTCGCCGCTGATGAAAAAGAGGTGAGTTTTTGGTGGGTTTTTTTTTTTTCGTATTTGTTGAAATTTTTTCTATGAATGAACTTTAATTTTATCATTCTGTTTGTGCTTTCTTTTACTTTGTAATGGTGACTCTACCTATCAATGAATAACTTCTTAAACTGGTACTTATATTGTTCTTTAATTGGTCTATGTGGTATTTTGTATGACATGTGACTATGTTGAAGATAGCTGAATCTATTTTTTACTTTTTAACTTCGTCTCAATGATTAAGCTGATTGAAATTTTATCCAAAGAATTAGTTTTTTTCTATTTATTGAACTTATTGAATACTGTTGACTTATTTTCGGGGCATTCGTGAAGGCATAGGTATCTCACTTTGGGGTGTGTTTTTTCCTCCCAAGGGTATTTTCAAGAGCAATGTGAGTCTCCGTAAGAAGAAAGACAAACACTTTGAGTACAGAAAGAGAGGCAGGGACCCTAGTTCAGGGAAAATGGATGGACCTCCAAAGAAAAAGGCTTTGAACGACTTGGCAATGTCTGAAAGGCCAGTGTGCAAGTTTTACATGGAAGGAAAGTGTGCAAAGGTAAGGTGGAACCCAGAATTTGTGTTTGGGTGATTGCTGGTTTGAAGACAAGTTTATTTTAGAAAAAATTCATCCTTCATTATTACTACTCTTTAAAGTGGCATACAAATGCTTCAAAGACACTTCAATAATTCTAAAGTTGAATATTCATGAAGTGCAAGGTAAACAAAAGTAAGAGAAAGAACTTATTTCTTGTCATTATTTGTTTAATACACATACTTTTGAACCTTGATCTGAGATACCCCAATAATAAGCCGCCACCCTAACATTTCTCTTTTTTTAGTAGCTTAAAGTCATTTCTGTCATTCAATCATCTTGATTCTTTATGTGTTTCAGGGAACTGGATGTCAGTTTAATCACGATGTGGAACGTCCCAAACGCATGGAAGTGTGCATGTACCACTTGACGGTGAAGGGCTGTCACAAGGAGCAATGCCAATATATGCATGATATCCTTTTTCTGCTGCAGCGTATAGTGCTTTTACCCATGGTGAATTGGGGGGGGGGGGGGGGTGATTTCATTGTTTTAAAGAAATGATACAAAATATGAAGTTCATGCTAAACATACTGTTTTTGAAGTATTTTGGCAATGTGTGGAGACTGTCAGCACACTTTGAATGTCACAAAAAGTGAAAATAAGGCAAAATACAGAGCCGTTCTCATTCATTCATTTCCACCCAAAAGGTGGACAAGGAAGAAGGTGTATATTTGTGGAAATAATGTTGTTGTTATCAATCCAGGTTTATGGGAGTAAAAGATATAATTTTTTTGCTAGATTTACTTTAGCTGTAAAAGCATTTGTAATCCATTCTTGCATACATGACACTATTTATTTTATGAACACTTTGCTTATAGAGCAGACAGTTTGAAGTATGATAAAGTAAATACGGGTCTTATGTAGAATATGACTTGAAGGATGTCACCAGTTTTACAAAGTTGCCTTTACAAAGTGTCCAAGAATTGTTTGCCTTAATGAGTCTCACAGGACTTCCCTTGTAAATACTACCACACGGGGGCCAAGTGCTACTCTGGTGACAGGTGCAAGTTTTCCCATGATCCTCTCACAGAGGAGACTAGGAGAGCCCTGGAGATGAGAGTGGCTGCGGAAGACGTATGTGATCTATTGAATAATATTTTAATGATTTTTATACGTAAATGTGGTGCTGATTGTTTTGATTTTACTCACTTGTACTTGTGTTTGTGATCTCTTGAGAGACAGACAGCAGGATTGAAGAAATTTATAGTTTAAAAAAAAATGAAAACACTTTTCCTTGTTATTTATATTTTAAATGACTTATTCATCCATGTCATTCAATGTTATCTTAAAGAACAAGTTTGAAATAAGCAGTAGTTCAATATTTGCTCAAGAACAGATTGATGGATTTGAGGCCAGGCACAGTCAACCTTATGGGTCTGATAAACAAGGACAAAGGACCTGCCAACATGAAACATGGCATGGGACCTGGAAATGTGTTAAGATGTTAAGATTTGTTGTCAGGTTCAGTGCACCTTCTTACTTAAATTAAGCTTAGATCTTTGCATGTCTTCCTCTTCAGATCATTGATATGGATGACCCCGACTATGGCTACGACTATCGTGACGACTACGGCCCCCATGATCACGGAGGTGTAGGCAGACCCAGTCTCTTAGGTGAGAGCAGCTGTCGAGTTATATTGTTTCGTCTCGTCTTCAGTGACCAATGTTTATATGCTCAATGAATGTGGGGTGTATTCTCGCAGTATGTTCTCCCTTTCATCTTGTAGTTGATTTGAGGATGTCGCAAGCAAGTCCTATTTTTTTTTTTTATCTTGCTTTTTTAGCTTTTACAAGCACCACATGGAAATTTTGTGGAACTTTATTCTAAATGAATAGAAATATCTGCCTCTGGAAATGTGATCCCTAAACCCTTGACTTGTTCCAGGATCCCCACCCCAGAGACATAGACGAGACAGAGGAGATGGGAAGAAGATCCCGTCCTTATTTGAGATTGAAGTGCACCCACCTGGGCAGTCCCCAAAACCATCCCCTCAAGCAAGGTAAGCAAGAGCTTCTTCTGCTTTTACATTCCTGTAAGTGGTGTCAGAATAGGCAATTACAGGCTCTATGCTAAAAAAAACTTTGGACAGATTTTTTTGTCCGTTTTTTTGGGTTTTTTTGGTGGAAACCTAAGAAACATCTGTTATGAGAGTACTTTCATTTAATGGAGTAGAGCTCAGTGTGATGTGAAATATGCTGACACTATTTGTTATTTTCCAGTTTCATGTTTATTGTCTTTAATATTCCACATTTCTTTTTCTATGGTTACATGGTGAAACTTGCAAATCCTGCATAGATTTTGTGTTACTTTCCCGTCAGAACGAATAACCGATATTTTAAAAAGATTTGGGTTTCGAATACACCGACTGGCAAACGTCATTTTTAGTGATCTTAATCTCATCCATAATCTTCTCTTTAATTTCTTTTTTGATAAATCCATTCCGTCTATTCCAGGCCGTCTGGTTTCTATAACGAGACCAACTCATCGCCTCAGCCAGGAAGTGGTGGCGTAGGGGGTCAAGGGCCAGGACCAAACCCTCCAGGGGGCGGAGGAGCCCCGATGAACAATCCCAACATGGGGATGGCCAACAACGGCGGGCCGGGAGGACCCAACATGCCGGGTCAGCAACAACAACAACAGCAACAACCGGGCATGATCAACAGCAGTGCTGGTAGCAACCCAAACATGGGTGGTCCCGGCTTGCTCCAGGCTCCAATGGGAAGAGGGCCCAACAATGGCGGCATGATGGGAGGGCCCAACAACAGCATGATGGGAGGCCCTGGCAATAATGCCGGCAACATGATGGGTGGCCCGAACAACAGCAACAACATGATGGGCGGCCCGAACAACAGCAATATGATGGGTGGCCCGAATAACAGCAACAATATGATGGGTGGCCCGAATAACAGCAACAATATGATGGGCGGCCCAAATAACAGCAACAATATGATGGGCGGCCCGAATAACAGCATGATGGGTGGCCCGAATAACAACAACAATATGATGGGCGGCCCAAACAACAATATGATGGGCGGCCCAAATAATAACATGATGGGTGGTCCGAATAACAATAATATGATGGGCGGCCCAAACAACGGTAACATGATGGGTGGCAATCGCCCCAACATGATGGGCCAGGGCATGCCGCAGAGACCCCAGCAGAGGCCTGGTGGAGGTCCTGCTGTGCAGTTCATGACTCCGGGCAGCAATCAGCAGCAGCAGCAGCAACAACCGCAGCAGGGGGGACAGCTCCCTCCGGTGCTCAACATGCTGGGAGCCATCATACGCGAGGCAGCCAATACCATGCAGAAGGGCTCGTCGGGACCGATGGGGAACATGAACTACAACAACAACAGCAGCAACAGCAACAACAACATGGGTCCTGGTGGCCCCAACAACATGAGGCCTCGTATGATGGGGAATGGAGGAGTGCCTCCAAACAGTATGGGTATGGGACCCGGTGGGATGAACCAGGGTATGGGGCCGAACAATATGGGTCAGGGGATGGGTCCCATGAACCAGAACATGGGGCCTGGCAACATGAACCAGGGCATGGGTCCTGGAAATGTGAACCAGGGCTTGGGCGCAGGTGGATTGAACCAGAACATGGGCCCAGGAGGCCCGAACCAAAATATGGGCCCCGGAGGCATGAACCAGAATATGGGTCCTGGCAATATGAACAGGAACATGGGACCTGGTGGCATGAACCAAAACATGGCTCCTGGGGGAATGAATCAGGGTATGGGTCCCGCTGGTATGAACCAGAATGTGGGTCCTGGAGGCATGAACCAAAACATGGTTCCTGGGAGCACGATACTTCCACCCTCCGAACCCGGTAGTGCTACTGCAACCAGTACTAACAACAGTATGGGAGGTCCCAGACCCCCGCCGGTGTCTGCAGGACAGGAGGTGGGTTTCATGGATATGGACTACAGGATCAAGCCGGACTTTGATGGGGACGGGAGAGTGGAACAGCGTATGAATACGGGAGAGACGAATGAGATGGGAGACACCGACCACAGGGTGAAGGAGAAGGAGGTGACCGAGGAAGATGAGGATGATGAGGAGAACAGCAAGGATCTAAAAGAGCTGGATAAGATTCGGCAGCAGATTCAGGCGCAGATTGATAACGCTTCAGATGGAGAGGAGGAGGAGGAGGAAGAAGGAGAGAACGAGGATGAAGAGATGGCGGAGGATGGCTCTGTCTTACCTAAGAAGGAAGAGCTGAGCCCGGAGAGGATGGACGAGTCTGGTCAAGGTGAGTAGGAAAATAGAGTGTGTGAGCTGTGTACTGTTTGAAATGATTTTACTTATTTTAGATTCTGAAAGATGTTCTTATGTAAATTTGACATTTGAGGTTAAATGGCTGATAGTTTTTTTCTTCACTTTTACAATTTTCACAACAGCTTATTTCTGTTACTTGGAATGCATTAAAAATAACTGCATGTGTGAGGCATCGTGGTAAAATCGGGCTCTTGTCAAAATAATGAAATAGAAGAAACTGACGTTTTTGTACCAGTTGAGCAATTTTTGTTGAATTTTTGTTTTTCTGCCCAACACATTTTATGTCAATTTAAGAACATGTTTCTGTGTGGATTACTATAAAACATTGATTAAAGGAAAAAAAAAAAAAATTTTTTTCCCCCTTCCATGGACTTCAACAAGAGAAATCAACAATTTCTGGCGGCCTTTTTTTGTGCTAATTTTACTCCTGAAACCAGGCAATCCCCATCTCTTTCAATCGTAAATATCTTGATTTCCATTCAAGATAAAAATTGATATTTTTTCATCAAAAGGGACACAAATAATCAAACTATAAGATGATACCATTATCACCACATGCCCTAAAATTGACGAGCGCCCGATTCCACTGTATTGTATCACATATTATAATGGCAAAAACTTTGCAAAGCTGAATGTTCAGGGGTATTTAATTTCTTGGGTTTTAGAATTATTTGATGAATAAACCAGAATAAGTCGACCTGAATGGCATGGAACCTAGTATCATTTATTCTCTAGTACTTGGAGTCTTGGAGTTAAGAGAGAACAGATGTGCATATATATTGTATTTGTGATTGCTTTTGTGTGTGTATGGGTGTAAAGAAAAGGGGGGGGGGGAGTTACTTATTGCTTCACAGCTGTCGTGGAGGACCAGGGCGAGTTTGTCTTGAGGTCCATAAAGTTTGTCATTGTCACGATTATTTTCTTCTCAGAAATAAAAGATGAGAAAGCGGCAATAAAAGCAGAAGTTGAGGCAGAGATGGCCAACATTGAGGTACCAGCACATTTACCAAAGAAGCAACGAGAGCTGTTCATAAGGATTCAACAACAACAGTTGATGCGGGAGAAGGAGAAAGAGAAACAGGAAGCTGCCAAGGCAGCAGAGGACTCTGAAGTGAAAGGTAAGGTGATAGACCCGAGAATATAAAGTGTTTGTTGTGAAGGCTGCAATTTCTTGTCAGTTTCTTAGGGTTAAAAAAAAAATGATCATGTATTGTGGTTCGAGATTGGCTGAAATGAGATATATATAAATTATGTTTGGGGATTTAAAAAAGGTTCTTTCTCCGATCTTTTATTGGGTTATGTTGTAAGACTTGTTGAAGGGCTTATCTTTTGTGGAAGCTAATGGAGCTCTTTTCTCTCTCTCTCTCTCTCTCTCTCTCTCTCTCTCTCTCTCTCTCTCTCTCT